GACAACTGCGCCACCCCCCCCCCCCGCAATTTCATTTTCATGATGAAAGGATACTTTATTCTTCCTTCCTTATCATCTCAGTACTGTACAGTATACATTTCAAGCTTTTTACCCAAAAAGGGCTGGTAACATGGGAAATGAGCTAATCCAGCTGAAATGGACTGGAGTGAGCACATTTATCACTCCCTTCTACTGGATAGAAAAATGATGCACCTTATTTTATACAAATGTTAAGTTTTAATACTGCCACTTCCACTGCAGGTTCCCTTTCAGCTTATGTGATAGAGCAGGGGTGGGCAAAAGGGCCTCTGCAGGCTGGATGCGGCCTGCCAAGCGGCGTGATCCGCGCGGAGGCCCTGCTGCTCCCCCGCCCCCAAGCCAATTAGGACCTGCTGTAGATCACATGGGCAGAGCCAGAAATTGTAGGCTAATCCACAGTGTTCCAGTGTAGTGTTTTAACTGTAGTGTTCTCCTTCTTTCCTAGAATTATCCTTTTCTTTCATGGAGGAGAGAACCTGCATGTGGGTTGACCTCCTGAATCAGCAATCTGACTGCAAGATTGGTAATCCACATCCTCTTTCCAAGAATTCAGCCCATTCAGAAAAGTAGTAATAGTTGTTGAAGCATCAGTAGCACTCAGTGCTACTAATTCTGACTCTGACCTCTCCTTTTCTGGAGGCCTAAATAAATAAAAAATTAATACCTCCTGGTATCTTCTAATTTTATCATTTTGAGTTAATAAGTTCATATGCAAATTCAATTGGATTGAAATTATTATTGGTGCTTCTTTCTATTAAAATGTAAAAAGCAAAAATGTGCACATGAGCTTCTTCAAAAGAATGTGAGAAGCAGATGAATAAGGTGCATATAAGATCACAACCACCTTGGACACAAGGCTCTGACTTTATTTCTACTGGCTTCCTTACATTTGGAGTAGGTACTAAACATCTGCTTCTTGCTCATGTTAAAAAAAAACAAAAAGAGGAAGGTGGAGGTTCTAAATGTGCTAATTGGCTTTTAGTGAAATCAAAGCAACAGTGGAAAGACTGCTGTCAAGCATTTTAAAATTCAAAACCACTCTAAACTTAGCAACCTGAATCTAGTTAGATAGCATTTTATGTAAGATCTGGGGTGATCGGTGGAAATGAATAATAGTAACGTCAACATCTCCATCTGTGTCCTCCGCCTTCCTCATGTAATTTGAATTTTTGAAGGTCTCTTTGGTTGTGTTTTAGTGGTAGTAATTGTCTCATTTTAGTGGGTATCAATTTCTGTTTCTCTTGTCTGTCTTCCTTTGTGCGGAGGCAGACTTAAGACAGAATGAAAGGGCAAACTGAGGTTAAACAATAAAAACTTTAACATTTTATTATTTATTTCCTTGTTTAACAAAATAGCTACTTAATTTATATGGGATTAGGATTTGCTGGGTCTAGCAAGATACCAGAAAAAGGAACCAAATGGTAAACACTACATAGCATTTTATGAGACTTTATTTTGTTGTTTCAACAGTGAATCATCTCCATTATGCTATATCCATCTGTCTCCTAACTCTCTATCTGTATGTGGAAAAAATCTGTTCAAATAGGCTAAGACTTCAAAGGCACTTAGAAGATTTGTATGCTCAATTCCCATGAATTTTAATGGGGATTGGGCATCTAAATTTCTTAGGTAGCTTTGAAACTTTGTTTTAGCACTTGGAGATTTTTTAAAAAACTCTTCTGTTGTTTATGGGAAATTGAGTTTCTTCCTTTTCTGTTCCAGTTCCACACTGCACATCTTATTTAAAGAGGAAAAAGACAGCTTGTTGATTTTTTTTCCCCCTCTAGTATCATTCTGTCATCCATTTCACCGAACACCGTTGGCAGGGTCATTAATGTAGAACTTAGGAGCAGTTGTTTGTAGTTAGAACCTCAACTTTTGCTTTTCAATGTACTGTATCTAGGTTTGATGGCTCCTGACCGGAAATTTAAAGGTCAAACTTTTAATATGTCTATTAAATATTTTGCTTCCTTAAATAAGTATTCTGAAATGGTTCTTTCTTTCTTTTCCCTTCACTCCAACCCTTCATCCTCAGAAGATACAGGCAGTCCCCGGGTTACATGGATCCGACTTACATCGGATCCCTACTTACAAACGGGGTGAGGCAACCCTGCACTAGCTGCTTCCCCCCAGCAGACCAGGGAAACGCGGAGCGGCTTTTCTCAGCAGACACCTCAGCTTGAGAATAAAGGACTGAGGGAAGTGAGGTGTGGGAGAATAAAACTGAGCTCTGGAGAAATGTTTGGCTAGAGTTTCCCCTACAATATGTACCAGTTCCGACTTACATACAAATTCAACTTAAGAACAAACCTACAGTCCCTATCTTGTACGTAACCCGGGGACTGCCTGTAATGGCAAGTGTCAAATGCAAAGTACTCCACTTATGAAGGAACAATGAGTGTCACAAATACTGAATGGGAAGTGACTGTCTAGGAAGTTGAACTGCAGAACAGGATCTAGAGGTCATAGTGGACCACAAGCTAAATATAAGTCAACCGTGTGACGCTGTTGTGAAAAAGCAAACATGATTCTGGGATGCATTAACAGGAGTGTGTGAGCAAGACATAAGAAGTCATTCTTCTGCTCTATTCTGCACTGATTAGGCCTCAATTGGAGTATTGTGTTCAGTTCTGGGCATCACATTTCAATAAAGATGTGGAGAAATTGGAGAAGGTCCAGAGAAGAACAACAAAAATGATTAAATGTCTAGAAAACATGACCTAAGAGGAAAGACGGATAGAATTGGGTTTGGTTAATTTAGAAAAGAGAAGACTGAGAGGGGACATGATAGCAGTTTTCAAGTACCTAAAAGAGTATAATAAGGAGGAGGAAGAAACATTGTTCTCCTTGATTTCTGATGATAGGACAAGAAGCAGTGGTCTTAAATTGCAGTAAGGGAGGTTTAGCTTAGACATTAGGAAAAACTTCTTAAATGTCAGGATGGTTAAACACTGGGATAAATTGCCTAGGGAAGTTGTGAAATCTGTCACTGGAGAGATTAAAGAGCAGGTTGGTTAGACGTCTACCAGGGATGATCTAGACTGTACTTGTTCCTGTAGTGAGGGCAGGGGACTGGACTTGATGACCTCTTGAGATCCCTTCCAGTTATAATATTCTATAAGTACAAAATAATGGAATAGGAATAAGTAATTTAGAAGTGGTGGGTGGATGATGACAGAAAACAAAAATTTCTCTGATTGAAGTATTGCTTGCTGTAAAATAAATCGGAGGTGAATGAAGCAGAAACCAGTACTGACATGTTTTTTCTTTCTTAAGTATTCTGTTTATGATTTCTGTCTAGAACCTGTTTTCGGGGCCCATAATACATTAGAGTAAAGAGAACACTAAGATTGATGAGTTTGCAAATTGTATACGCATGGTGAGATCAATGAAATTATTAAATAGATGTACTGTATCTAGGAAATGGATGGCAACCCCTTTGAGTTCTAAATATTACAATAAACTGTAACAAATAGTGGTAATTTTGCTCTGTGGAACAATGTTGCAATGCATGGTACAGGCTAATAATCTCATTAGATTATGAAAATATTTGTATAAAAAAAGATGATCATGATCATCAGAGTTTCCTAAAAGTTTCATGGAGAGAATACAGGCATAGTTCTTCAGATGAAAATTTACTCACCAAGGTTTTTCTGGATATTTCACAGCTTGATGGAGCAGTCTTTCTGCATAGTTTTTATACTCGGTATTGCTGCAAAAATGTCGCTATGTACTGAAAAGTGGACAAATGTTAGCCGAATGCAGATTTGGGGGAAATTGGCATTGAATTGTTGCCTTTCTGATTTTACAAGCCTCATCATGGGTTTCATAGCATATGCTACTTAATTCATCTGCATACTAATACCCTTTCTCCTGTGTGCTAGCAGCCAATACAACTCTGTCATGGCTGTGTTGGGGGACGGCTCAAGAGCTAATAGTATTCCAGCTGTTCAAATGCAAGTGGTAGTCCATATTGGTTATAACGTTGCTTCATCGTAGTACTCATCATTGAGCTAACACACTACACGATACATAGTACTCATTATTTAAAAACTCTGTTTATAGAAATGTGATTTATCTGGTTTAGTGTTATTTGGCTGTGTTGCTGGCCCCTGATGAAGGGAGAATAGCAGATGATGTGAGCTAATGATATAATGTGGTGTAAGTTCTACAATATATCAACACACTCATCGTTTTACAGTACTGATGTTCTCAAAAATATGGTGGTTATGCAAGCCCCATACAATCCATTTTGCAGGAATCCTGCCAGTCTATGCTCACTCCACAGAGTTGTCTTCCTGGATCTTGTCAATAAGAGGAAGTGATCCAAGTGGCTGTTTTAGAACATTTAAAAGCTTCACTTTCAGCTTTTTTGAACACGATGATAAAAAAACTGAAGCAAAAATGAAACTCTTGAAGCTGCTAATGAGGCCATGGAGAAGAAGGGCTGCATGCAGTTTGGTGTGTTGATTAGATTAACTTCGGTATGAGTTGAAATGTTCCTGCAAGTTTTTCATCATCTTCAGGCATGATTTTTGACATCTGGATATTTTACATTTAATTTTTGGATTATTTTTTAATAGTGAAATTTGTTCATTCTAATGAAAACAAAAAAAATCTGCACATCTTTTGCAACTTTCATCCATTTTAAAAATCAATATCGTTACCTCTATAATGTTCAGTATGCAGAAGGGAATATTATGGGCCAAATTAAATACTGGTAATAACTTCCTGGATACTGTATCAGTTATATTACATCTGGGATGAATTTGCATTGATATCTCCAGTTTAAACAGCAGTGAAAGCCAATAAAGAGATAATCTGCAATTTAGGAGTCTGGATTACAGATTTTACCTTACCTGTCTTTAATTTGTTTACATGGCTATTAAGGAGGAGTATGGCAACAGAATGGGAGAAAGGGAATACTCCTGGAGCATTGAATCCTAAGGTCCCTGTTACGATGATCAGGGAGAGACTAGACACATAAAGACAACGGGAAGAATGTGAGACACATTTACATTTAATTTCTATCTCATTGGCTATAAATAGGTGATTTGAAGGGGCTTGGGATCATGGCTTTTTAAGAGATCATGCTTTTAGATTTATCTTGTGTAATGCAAGGTGGACAATACAACTGTTATCATCCACTGGAGCTGGCCAGGAAATGGGTTTTGTGTCCCATGAAAATTTGAAGTACCTGAAAATGTTCCTGTTCCAAATCAGAATGAAAATAGAAATCTCAAATTTCTCAAGCCAGAAATCTGGAGAAGAAAACCCAGCCTGAGTCAATTGAAACTTTGATTTTCATGATTTTCAAATGCTTTGTTTGGATCACTTTTTTTATTTTTAAGCTGTTTTACTATACTTCACTTAAAAATTGAAATGAAAAGTTGTTCTGTACCAGAAGATTAGAGTTTTGTATTTAGAAAAGGTCAAAACATCATTTTGATAATTTCAAAACTTTTTCATAATTTTTACAAGTTGACTTGAAACTGATCCTTTCCTGCAAACAATGAACAATAT